ATAATTATTCCTGAATGGCACTTGAACTAACATCAACATTTCTTATAAGTCTTTTATCTCCTTTTTTCTGTTTTTGTTCTTCTTTACTTTCAATTTTCTTTGTACTGACGGTTTTCTTTCTGTTTTTAAACTCACTATGGAATGACCCGTCTACTTGATCAATAAATAGGACTCACTGCGGGTGTGACCGTTCAACAGGGGATGTTTACTCCTCTCAGTCACCTGATCCCACCTTGACTTGTTGGAGGTCCTTGTTCATGTTCTGAACATTGATTTGTTTTACCGGGGTTTTTATTAGATCCTTTATTAGATATATTTTTAATCTTTTACATTTTGTTTATTTTTGGATTTTGACTTTTCAATCTATCTTCACATTTCTTCATTAAATTTAGAACCAAAGAAAGTTATGATACGTCCAGAGAAAAACTGTAATGGTAAGTAGAAGCAAGTATGAAATTGATGTTGAACAGATAACGGTTAAAGTTAAACGTTTTTAATTATCTCTGAATTCAAAGAGGTTTGTTTATTCAGGAATATGTTATATATATCTTTTAAAACTTTATTGAATGCACAGATAAATCGAAAACGAAGCGTTTATAAAAATAATCTTTTTTGTCCAAAGGAGAAATTATATACAGTAAACATTTATAATATATTTTTATGCATGTATATAGAACTGTTATCTTAAAAAAACAATTCTTTTCCAGTTCCTACAAGAACAACACCTGAAGATTTTAAAATTTCCAAAGGTAATCACTCTACCGTTCTTAATGAATTTATGTAGAACATGGCAAATATTCAATATTTAAGATTTACTTGAGATTACTCAAGATTACTTTAAGAATCAATTGAGGTAACCTCTCATTTTTGGTTTAAGTTTATCATCTTTGTCCTTCTTGAATGCTACTTACAAATAGCTTATATTTTTCTAATCTTTTTAATTGCTGTCGGCATGGTGTCAAGCTGTATAAGAATTTGTATCTGCTTGATCAGAAACTATGTAATCATACCAAAAGAGCTAGATTTAGTGCAAGCGGATTTACATTGAAATTCGTTACCTGAATGTTAAAAGATACAGTTTTCAGAGAAAAGAATAATATTTCTAATGCAAAATACCAAAGTGTTTACTTTCGTTACTCTTTTGGCATGAAACTGATTATTCAATGTGATTCACTTTTTCAACATGTCCGTGTATTCTTTTCTCTGCATATTTATATTACTATATCAGTCCATTTATATTCTGCGAAAGGGATGAATTGCTCGTTCTGCGCCAAATGTTACTATTAAGCTATCTTTTTGTATGAATGGGTGTGCGAACTTTCATTTCATTAATGAATGTTTGTCCTTTTAACATCCTTTTATTGTTTCAAAAAATTTCTTCAGGTTTTATCTTATTATGAACAACATGTCGTATATTTAAGGAATGAAGCTTATTTCAACTTTTGTTATACGACATAACATAACTTGGGGCAGTTTACGCCTTTTAAACCGCAAAGCGGTTTATAAAAAAAGTTGAAATAAGCTTCATTTCTTATAATTTAATTTCAGTGTAAACAATGAGGCAATTCTTTCTTCGAAAAAAAGGCTTCAAATATAGCATATTTTAAAAATGACGTCAAGCGTAGCAATATGTTTTGACATAACTCATTGTCACTGAGGCAAGTTATGTAATACAAAATATAATATGTTCCCCTGAATGATTCAGCCAATGAAATTGCTTGATACAAATGAAATGATTGATTGACTGTTTACTGTTTAACGCCCCTCTCCAGAATATTTCACTGATATAGAGACGTCACCATTGAAGGGCTGCAAATTTAGGCCTATGCTCGGCACTTACGGCCTTTAAGCAGGGAGGATCTTTATCGTGCCACACGTGCTGTGACACGGGGCCTCTGTTAATACGGTCTCATCCGAAGAACCACGCCATTTAATTGCCTTTTACGACAAGCAAAGGGGTACTGAGGGCCTATTCTAACCCGGATCCCCACGGGGCTACAAATGAAATTGAATTATATCAGTACATGTATATTGATATGCAGCACTAAAGAAATGATTCTTCTAATTTGTTTCCTGATCCCGCAGTTGGTTTATCCCATATATATACTAGTCCAATACGCAGCACGGTTTACGTTAAAAATGGAAATATCAGCGATTTTTTAAGATAAAAAATACATACTTTATTAGGATGGGCGATTCTTTCTAGGACTTCACTGCTATCAAAAAATGTATTGTGGTTTAAATCTACTGGTTGAGGATATTTAGACTGATGTCTAACCATTCCCCACCAAAAATGTTAACAACCTCCAGCCAATGTTTTTATCATGCCGGTGTGTAGGGGAGGGGATACCGGTGTGTAGGGGTGGGGATACTGGTGTGTAGGGGTGGGGATACCGGTGTGTAGGGGTGGGGATGACGGTGTGTAGGGGTGGGGATACCGGTGTGTAGGGGTGGGGATACCGGTATGTAGGGTTGGGGATACCGGTGTGTAGGGGTGGGGATACCGGTGTGTAGGGGTGGGGATACCGGTGTGTAGGGGTGGGGATACTGGTGTGTAGGGTGGGGATACCGGTGTGTAGGGGTGGGGATACCGGTATGTAGGGGTGGGGATACCGGTGTGTAGGGGTGGGGATACCGGTGTGTAGGGGTGGGGATACCGGTGTGTAGGGGTGGGGATACTGGTGTGTAGGGGTGGGGATACCGGTGTGTAGGGGTGGGGATACCGGTGTGTAGGGGTGGGGATACCGGTGTGTAGGGGTGGGGATACTGGTGTGTAGGGGTGGGGATACTGGTGTGTAGGGGTGGGGATACTGGTGTGTAGGGGTGGGGATACCGGTGTGTAGGGGTGGGATACCGGTGTGTAGGGGTGGGGATACCGGTGTGTAGGGGTGGGGATACCGGTGTGTAGGGGTGGGGATACAGGTGTGTAGGGGTCGCGAAACTGGAGAGGAGGGGTGGGTATACAGGAGTGTAGGGGTGGGGATACTGGTGTGTAGGGGTGGGGATACCGGTGTGTAGGGGTGGGGATACTGGTGTGTAGGGGTGGGGATACTGGTGTGTAGGGGTGGGGATACCGGTGTGTAGGGGTGGGGATACCGGTGTGTAGGGGTGGGGATACTGGTGTGTAGGGGTGGGGATACCGGTGTGTAGGGGTGGGGATACCAGTGTGTAGGGGTGGGGATACTGGTGTGAAGTGGTGGGGATACCGGTGTGTAGGGGTGGGGATACTGGTGTGTAGGGGTGGGATACCGGTGTGTAGGGGTGGGATACCGGTGTGTAGGGGTGGGGATACCGGTGTGTAGGGGTGGGGATACCGGTGTGTAGGGGTGGGGATACTGGTGTGTAGGGGTGGGGATACTGGTGTGTAGGGGTGGGATACCGGTGTGTAGGGGTGGGGATACTGGTGTGTAGGGGTGGGGATACCGGTGTGTAAGGGTGGGGATACTGGTGTATAGGGGAGGATACCGGTGTGTAGGGGTGGGATACCGGTGTGTAGGGGTGGGGATACCGGTGTGTAGGGGTGGGGATACCGGTGTGTAGGGGTGGGGATACTGGTGTGTAGGGGTGGGGATACTGGAGTGTAGGGGTGGGGATACTGGAGTGTAGGGGTGGGGATACTGGTGTGTAGGGGTGGGATACCGGTGTGTAGGGGTGGGATACCGGTGTGTAGGGGTGGGGATACCGGTGTGTAGGGGTGGGGATACCGGTGTGTAGGGGAGGATACCGGTGTGTAGGGGTGGGATACCGGTGTGTAGGGGTGGGGATACTGGTGTGTAGGGGTGGGGATACTGGTGTGTAGGGGTGGGGATACCGGTGTGTAGGGGTGGGGATACCGGTGTGTAGGGGTGGGGATACTGGTGTGTAGGGGTGGGGATACCGGTGTGTAGGGGTGGGGATACCGGTGTGTAGGGGTGGGGATACCGGTGTGTAGGGGTGGGGATACTGGTGTGTAGGGGTGGGGATACTGGAGTGTAGGGGTGGGGATACTGGAGTGTAGGGGTGGGGATACTGGTGTGTAGGGGTGGGATACCGGTGTGTAGGGGTGGGATACCGGCGTGTAGGGGTGGGGATACTGGTGTGTAGGGGTGGGGATACCGGTGTGTAGGGGAGGATACCGGTGTGTAGGGGTGGGATACCGGTGTGTAGGGGTGGGGATACTGGTGTGTAGGGGTGGGGATACTGGTGTGTAGGGGTGGGATACCGGTGTGTAGGGGTGGGGATACCGGTGTGTAGGGGTGGGGATACTGGTGTGTAGGGGTGGCGATACTGGTGTGTAGGGGTGGGATACCGGTGTGTAGGGGTGGGGATACTGGTGTGTAGGGGTGGGGATACTGGTGTGTAGGGGTGGGGATACTGGTGTGTAGGGGTGGGGATACTGGTGTGTAGGGGTGGGGATACTGGAGTGTAGGGGTGGGGGATAGGTTGTACCTACCTTATCTTCCCCATTCCTGGAATATTTTTTTCTCTTCTATAGATCTTCAAGTAAAACTGATTACATCTATCACAATAGGGTTTTACATTAACGTTAGGGCATTGGTTCTTCTCCTTGTTCGTCTTTTATGTATTTTTTTACAATCCAAAGAGAAAGGAAAATAAATTCTGTACTTTTTCTTCCAAACAATAGATCGAGGAAGGAGAAGATAAATATTCACATCTTTATGGAATGGTAACCGTTATACATGCGATCAAGAAATGCAATTAGTTAATAAGTAGAGTGGCCAAAAACAAAATAGATGAAATATATAGAGATAACAAAGAGTATTCACGCTCAAAAGTTGATTTTGAATTTGAATTTTCATAAATATGATTGATAATTTTTACTAAATCTAATTACATTTCAAGTAATTTATATGCCAAAAAAAATACACTTTGTTGAGAAAAATTTGTGAATAAGACCTAATTCGGCAAATATAAATGATTAAAAAAAAAAACGATTGTAATAAAAAAGAGACTTAATATTGAAATGTTTCAAATGGATTTCTTTCACTTACAAGGATGGGAGTTCATTGATATTTTTAACGATCTCAATGGAGACATGAAATCTAAAATGGCGGTTGTCCTGGATGACAATGAGGGCACATGTTTTCCACTTCCTACCCAAGAAGACTTCACGCCTTTCTTAATGATGAGAATGCCGACAGAACCAGTGTTCGGTATTCAGACAAAGGCTTTCACCATTACAATATCAGGAATGGGAATTTCATGTAACAGGCACTCCAATTCCCGGATGCTTCAGGTAAGTGTAAATTAGTTGGATATCAAATTTCATAAACTCGTTTGAATTTTATATTTAGAAGTGTGAATTCAGCAAGACAGTGCATATATTCGGACTTTTTATAGGTGTATTGATATTATAAGTGTTATTATTCAAACAATTGATAGACTTTGTTTGTTTATATAGGGATTAATGATGTCAAATTCAAACCTATCCTCGGTGAAAATGATGAAAATGACTTAACGCAAATATGATCGATGACGATTTTTAGAAAAGTTCTGTTATTTTTTTCTTATATCTCTAGGTATCCTACAGAGCTATCAAGGAACCGACCCAGTTCTGTAATCTGACAGACAACAAGGCTGTACCTGACGCCTTTTCACGTTGTGTGTTTCGTTGTGACTGTCCAGACCCCGCCCACTGTAGAGACGTCAATCTGTATTTAGCCAGTGGTAATGCTAAGGGGGCGTGGTCTCTCTGTGAAGTGAAGGCCACCAATTCCTAAGTTACTTCAGATCAGGAATGGGAACTTTTAAATGAGAATAAGAATAACAAGATGAAATTTAATAGCAGTAATTCTTTAGGTTTTTTAATATCTTAGCCAGAAAAGTGGTGAAAATTAAACGATGTTGATGAAAATCAATTAGTGGAAAATAAACAGTGTATCATAACCTAATACAGAAAATATAATGTAACGCTTAGAATGTAAATGGTTGTTCAATTTCGTCTTTATGCTTAAACTGACCTTTACAACATTTTATTATTTTCTTTAATTATTGGTTTACTTCATGTCTATTCTAATGATTACATTAGTAATATTTCATAGTTTTATATATTATTTTGCTTTGATTCCTTCGTGAAAATTAGTTTTGCAAATGTTAAAAAAATGAATGAACATTTTTTTTCGGGAGATTAACAAACCTTGTAAAATAACAAAGGATATTTTTGGTTACAGTGTGTATGTCTTTTAAAAAAAGTATAATAGATTGCTTAACTTTTTTTCAATTAGGATATATAAAACAACCATACATATATCTTATAGCTTTGTAATGTTGTTCAATAGTATACAGCTATCGTTGAACATTTCCAAAAGTTATTCATAAACTACTAAATAATGCCTATATTAGGAATCAAGAAAAAAATTGCAAAAAGCCTTAATCAATAAAAATTTTCTTGTTTTTATACAAAGAAATCTTTTAAAAACGTTATTATTTGTACTGAAGACAGGAAAGCAATTCCTATTTTTTTTATAGATCTTCGGCTCACGTGAGCTAAATAAAAAAGAAAGCTTTTCTGATCAACACTTATCTTGAAATATAGATCATATTTTGAGAAAAGTTTAGCTCACCTGAGCTGAAATCTCAAATGAGCTTTTCTGATCACCAGTTGTCCGTTGTTCGTCTGTCTACATGTAGCTGTCCGTCTTCTCTAGAACCACTGGACCAATTTTAACCAAAGTTTGTACAAAGCATTCTTGGGTGATGGGGATTGAAACTATAAAAATGGAGGGCCAAGTACTCTTAGAAAATGAGATAATCAAGAAAAGACAAAAAAGGTATGGGTAAAAAAGAATCTTTTTCTGAAGAGCCACTGGGCCAGAAAAGCTGAATCTGATGTGGAATTGTACTGGTGCAGAATAGATTATTTTCATAATAAAATAGGCTCAGTTGAGATCATTTTATAAAGTATATTTATGACTGTGAAAACTATTACAATATTGTGTTTATGCTTTAAGAAACGTATTAATCAGTGAGAAACTATTTTATGATTAGTGTTTTGTATTTTAAGATGAACGCTTGATTATTCTATATACCGATTCAGGGCCATTATGTATGATATACATGAGTCGGAAGGATTGTCATTATAAGATGATTATTGGATTAATTGATATAACCTGCTGTACCCTCAAACATGTATTTTCGTTTATTTTTTAGCTATATATTTCACCACGAAATAAAGGATTACGCATGGAAAAAAAATAGGGACATTTTTTGAATTTTTTTTCTTAAGAACCAATGATCCAGAAAAGCAGAATCTCACATTGAAGCATCCTGGCACTGTGTAAAATCTAAGTTGTCATAATCATAATCCCTAGGGGTAGGGCTGGACCAAAATATGGAATCCAAGTTTTACATAGTAACATGCTAGAAAAACCACAATAGGTATTACAAATTACTAAAGGGGGAGAATCCGATAAGGAAGAGCATCACCATAGTTACTCAGGTGAGCAATGTGGCCCATTGGCCTCCTATTGTGTACGATCTTGTGTTTAATGAAGATAAATCATGACTAATGGGGATATTATAGCATAAAGGAAATGATATTGAGAATATTCGTCATCATAATATTCAAACATTGATTTAAAGTAAAAACAGATTACGTCTGTTTCAATTGTGGCCATGACTTTAGGCAGTTTAATTATAGGGGCTCTAACTTTCCGAAGGAATAAATAGATTTTTCCCCAAATCTTGTAAATAAAAGGAAAGTCACAATTGTGATATCGATATACAATCAACATGTAAAGAAGAAATAAAGATTGATTAAATCATGAAAGGTCACAGTCACGAGTGAAGTCATAACGTGGCATCAGTACTCTTTTAATATCTTGCAATGAAGCCGGTCAAGTGCTACTGAGATGAGTGTTTGGTCCATGGGCTTTTGGTTTTGTTCTTTAGTAGGTAAGAGGGTTGTCCATAAAGTTTGTTGACAAGTGCTACAATTTTCTTTATAATGACCAAACTGGTAAATGTGTACAGACATATTTAAATAGAGACCACGATTTAATAAAATTATAAAATCAATACAATACACAATATTTACGAACATTAGAGGTGTATATACTACCTAGTGTCATAATTCCATAATAATGTCAAAAGTATGAATTTAGAATTTTTATAACGTTCATCGACACAGTCTATTCTCTTTATGTCTCACTGACACATGTCTGCAATAGTATTTATGTTTAGAATAAAAATGATTTAATTTTTAAAATTCCAACCATTACAGGATAATGTACGATCGTCGTATAGACAGGCAGTGAAGCCTAGTCCAACTTTTGTCTCGATTTATAAGTACGTCATAAATTGGGATAACTTATTTTCCTCAAATAACAGTGGTTTTTTACTTCTTATAGCGTCTTCAAAATTTTCTTTTTAAGATAAATAACAAACACGAAGTACACGACCTTTATAGTCAACCCTCGTGTGTGGATTGAATATTATTTGTTTTTTTTTTTGTGTGAATGTTTTTCCTCCTCAATGGCACATGATCCCACCTCTATTGTTTTGGAGGTCCGTGTTTGCTCTGTTTTGTATTGTACGAGGGTCATTCAAAAAGTTCGTAGACTTTTGTCCCAACTTTTTTATTTAACGTCATATTATATCCAAATTTGGTACACATATTTTAACAACAGATTCAAATAATTTGAGGAGAAAAATTGGAATGTATCCTCATATTTATTAAAATTACCAAGGATTTAGAACAGCAAAAATGGGGTCACGGAGCACCGTCAAAAATGAGTAATTTTCTAATTTTCACTTTATAGTATTTACAGCTATACCTCTAATAAATGGAGCTGAAACGAAATAAAATTTACATGTTTAAATAAAGTATTGCTGTATTAATTAAAATGAAATCAGGTTGTGTAATATCTTGTTCCATTTAAAAGATATCAGCTTCTAAATACATATGGACTTGATTAAAAAAGGCAAAAAACCATGACGTTGGAGGACGTCACGGAGCAGCAAGTAGCAATAAAATTAGACTTTACATACGGGAAACTTTTTCTACAAGCTTAAAATATCCTTATAAATCAGGATCTGTATGAAAAAAAATCTGTGTATTTGTATTAAGTTGAAAATACAACTTTTGAGTGGTAGCGAGTTTGAATCGGACGATGGATTGTCTGCAAAGAAACATATTCAAGTTAAAAATATTGTCAAAAGAGTTAGGAACGTCATTGAACGTGATGTGTGCTTCAATGATGCAGAAATAATAAAGTTGCATGGTAAATCAAAGAATTTGAAAACAATAACATTCTAATTCAAGCTATATTTGTACAATTGTTAGCAAACCAGATGTTAAGTATTGTGGATATGTGTTTTGAATGGAGAAGCCGCAACAAACCGTGTTTGAAATTTAAAAAAATGTGTATACTTTTGACAAACTTTCTCAGCGTTGTTTTTGACGTTACAATATTGGTTAACCGTGCTCCGTGGTAACAAAACATGTTGCTTTTAATTTTGGCTAACGTGAGTTCTGTTTAATCAAATGGAATGAAACTTCACACTTCGACAAAATAAATGTTTTTGTTCACGAAAATGTGTTAATCTATAATCTTGTAATAATCATATGACGATGAGAAGCATTGTCTACGTATTTTTTGAATGACCCTCGTATAATGGATTTTAATTTTGATACTTTTCGTTACCTGCATATCTTTTATTATTTTCTTATTCCCTTCTATAAGTTGTTGTTAAAGTTGTGATTTTAGGTATTGTTTTTGATAGATTTGGTCATAACTTTATAAATGTCCCAGATATTGATGTTAATTATATTATATTGCATTATATGCTGCTTGTGTATCTCTAATTGCCTTGTAGGAAACATATATATATCCGCGAGAAATCAGCACTAGTATTACGTAATGTTAAGTTATACAAAATATTTTATACTGTACGCGTCTGCATATATTTTAGGTCAGCTTTGTTTTAATAAATACTCCATATGATAGTGCTGAGTCCAATAGGGGCTTTCACTCAGGCATATAAACAAATAGGCGATATATTACAATTGAGCCAACATATAAGATCGATTTAAACATGTAAATGATGTGAATATTATTAAATTTTCTAAAATAATCGCCATTAGGATTGGGACAGGGTCACAATTGTAGTCGAACATTTTATAAGGGATATTTGTTTTTCTAAATTTGGTTTTTGAATGACAACTGTTTTTGTTTTCTGTTTACCACTCTATTCATTTGAGCTGTGTTGTTGTAGATGTTGTTTGTGATAAACTTGTTGTTAATTGTGTTCATTGTTGTGTTGCTGTTTAATCTAGGATTTTGCAAGGAATGCTGCTTTTATAATTCTGATGCACATTTACTTTGTTGTACAAATCAATGTAGAAATATAAATATAAAAAATGTGTATTTTACCTAATGAAAACAAAACCTCTTGCAGTAAGTTTTAATAATTGGCACTGTGAGAATTTTATTTTTGCGAATTATTTTTTTATATAACAAGGTGTTAGTGCATATCACTTGTGAGGAAGTTAAAACATTTTCGAGAGGAGTTTGCAACTGTTGAAGAGATTTAAAAAAAAATAATAACACAGAAAACTTCTACAAGAAATATCTTTTTCTCAGAGAATTCCACGTTAACAGTGAAATGATATTTAGTAGGATGTCGATGTTGTAAATGAAAAATATTCTTTGTTTACTTGATTATTTAAAGTTTTTTCTACCGAACGAAGTGAATAAAACTGATGCTTGTTCTGTTGTTGTCACTGTGTTAATTAAAACTAAAAAAGTTTTTTATGTTTATTTTTTTTAGGAATTATTAACGAAAAATGACTATTATTAGGTAATTGTTAGGAAATGCTTAAGCTAAATTTCATTTTTCTGTTAATAAAGAAAATCATGGATACATTTTTGGTTTGCTATATTATTCCTGCACATCATGAAAAGTTGATATTTTGCGCGACTGATAAACATTAACTTTGATAAAGATTAAAACGAGCAACATGTTTGCTTTTAATTGGAGATTGTACGGCAATGCATTTTCACAGTGTTGAACGACATATTTAGCTAAAAATTGTTAATCCTATGAAAATCAATTAAGATATCTTATGTTACAACCAATATTACACTTTGACGTGTATCATAAGACTTTGTTACAACCAATATTACACTTTGACGTGTATCGTAAGACTTTGTTACAACCAATATTACACTCTCACTTGTACCGTAAGACTTTGTGACAACCAATATTACACTCTGAAGTGTATCGTAAGACTTTGTTACAACCAATATTACACTCTGACGTGTATCGTAAGACTGTTACAACCTATATTACACTCTGACGTGTATCGTAAGACTTTTGTGACAACCAATATTACACTCTGACGTGTCTTCACAATATACAATATACTGATGATGTTCTTCAAATTTTAACCTTTATTTGGCGTTTAGGGTCATTAAGCAGTAAGGGATCTTTATCATGGAAACTCCTGCCTTAACAGAAGCTAAGTTTTTAAGGTCTTATCTAAAGGACCCGCGACTTTCACTTCAAGTGCGGAGTGCCTGGCGAATGAACAATTGCTATCCATTTTTTATCGCGTTAGGTAAGTTTCAGACTCACGGCCTCTCGATCACTTAGCAAATGTTCCACCGACTGAGGTACCATGAAGGGTACAATTTTGAATAACATGCAGGAGATATGGATGTTTCTATCTTCTTAAGCACAGACACTTTTGTCTGTAATATTTAAAACAGAACTTGGATTGAACGAATGAAATTATGTCATTACTTATTCATAACTAAGAAAGCTTAATCTTTTATTTAAATGATAAGCCAAAAAGCTTGTAAATATTTCTGTTACTGTAATAATTGGTGTTTTATCAATTATAGTCGTTAATTGTAAAAATATTTAATGCTGAATAACCCATAAATATATAAACATCGAATAAAACTTTATCAAATCACAGCAGATAATTTCTGTCTTAAATGCACGTTTTCAGAACAGGGGTTACTTATTAAAAGGGTCAACGCTGATAAGAGACTTCGGTAATGATATTTTTCTGATAGCAATAGAAACAATTACCTTTTGGTGTCTTTCTTAGCATGAAGGCGAGTAGTATTTTAATACGATTCTGGTTCTACGCGTTGACGGTGATATTGACTGTGACGTCACTTGAGGAGAGATTGCTTGTGAGTGACAATGTTCTCCAGAACGAGATTCAGGAACTGAGGTCAAAGGTCGTCACTTTGGAGCAGAAAGTGGCAACGCTGGAGTCTAAATCAGGTAAATGTTGAGCTACAAGTAGAAACACAATTAGCAAAAGCTTAATGAGGGGTGCATAAGATGCAAGAAAAATGTCCTGAGTTTGAAATTAAAGATTTTCAAAATATAAAGGAGAAAGAGGAATTGTTCTAGCCTCTTTGCCTGCGCTAATCATCCAATGTATTAGGTAATTTCAAAAGATACATATAAAATTTAGAATTTGACTGCTAAAGTATAATTCCCTCTGCTAAGTGAATGATCGTATCAAGGATATTTAGAATAGACGGAGAATTACTAAGTATAAAAAGTCACTATCAAACGTTATATTTCTTACAACGCTAAATACTGGTCATATCTTAAAAAGAGTTCAAGATTTGTTAATGTGAATTCACATAAAAAGACCGTGTAAAACATGTGATAGATGCGATAAAATTCATTTGCATGATTTAAGTTGGGTATGATTTTTATCCATTTTGTAGTGTATTTTCTATCCCTTGTCACAGAAGGTTCGGGAAAGAAAAGACACAATTCGTTGGAAAAAAAAATCATCAGTATCACCACTGATCATGAAAAACGTTATAGTGATACAAATAACACCGTAAACTATCATTTTTCTCGGAAATATGAAAATAACAAATTTTAAGTCTCCTCTCAGATATTTCCTTCAAAAAATAGTTTGAAAATTTATTTGTAGCGTACCAATCCATTGTCTTCATGAATCAACTCAGCAAGTCTTTAAATAACCCCGCTACTGGTCACATCGTCGTGTTTGATGACACCATTACCAATGTCGGGAATGCGTACAGCAACGTCACTGGTGTTTTCCGGGCCCCAGTGGATGGTAGCTATATGTTCTCCGTGATTGCGACAGCTCCACCTATACCCGGAAGCCACAGTCTGCACCTCAATCTGAAAAGAAATGGAGGCACAATCGGTTATTTATTTCTGGACTCAAATCAGGACTATCATCTGAAGAGAACAGAGGTGGTGGTCGTCACGCTGTCTAGAGGGGACGAAGTCTTCGTCCGGATCGGTTCTGTGTCCGGTACACATTCTCTAATAGGATGCTGCTACCATACTCATTTCTCTGGTTTTCTTATTAATTGATTAATTATTAAGAAATAAAAAATTAAGATAAGTGAAAACACAATTTTTATCGTTTGTTTTAGTGCATAACGGAAGTGATATACTTTGAATAGGGATCGATGTCAAATGGTATATAAATTGAAAAATATGTTATTCGTCCAGATTGACGCTGTTTCGGGTATACATTCTCTGGTAGGATGTTGCTACCATACTCATTTCTCTGGCTTTTCAATTAATTGATTGATTATAAAAAAAATAAATAATCAACATAACTGAAAGCATTGTTGTAATCTTTTAACGTGTGAGAAAGAACTTCTACAGTTGTAACGACCTTGGAAGTGATAAGGTCACGACTTCCTGTGTATGTCTTAGTTTGTTTAAGTGCTTTGAATACTTTGAATAGCAATCGATGTCAAATGGTTCCTTAATTGATAAATATTCTATTCGCGAGGGAATTCTGCGCTTTGAATGTCTTTGGGTTTTATCATTATCTATATCATAAATGAAATATGGAAAAAACGAATATTAGTTTCTTTCAAGATCAAAACTACATTGTTACAATGAGAATTTGAAAAGAAAAAAAAACCTATACTTAAAAAGAAAAAAGGGATCATGGGCTAAGGAGGAGTGAGCATCCTATGAAAAAAAATTGGATTGCATCATTCATGTGCTCTTTGCATAAATATTGTTTAAAATATGCAAGTATTTTTTATGTATTCATATATAAATTGATTGTCATTTTCAAGTTAAAAAAACGTATTTCTTTTACATAATGTAAGGAGTTCTTAAAACACGAAAAATAGGGCTTTTTTTTTTCAAAAATTTAATTTGTGAGTAATGATGTTTTAATGTTTTTTCCTGCTGATTTAAATTTTGTGATGTCATTGTTGAGATGTTGAGATACTATTTGAGTTAGGCATACAAACAGGGAATGCCACGAGGACGTCGGGGTTGAAAGTGAAATTTGTGTAGTCGATCCCCGATGGTCTGTACTCTCTCTAACATGCCAATATTCTTTTCAAATTGAGCCCTTATCTGAGTTGCTGTTACCAAGACAATAGTGCAGATGAATTTCTTCTGATCCTGAGTAGCTCGGTCAATTAAATCTTGATCTATTATGAATATACCCTTTAGCACGATGTATAAACCATAATCTACTGACAGGGAAACATCAATTGACCTTCACCTTCATTGACCTTTCCACAACGACTTTCTTGTGCCAACATGTAGCAAATCAATGTAACATGATTATTCATCCAGTGTTAAGCGGTGCATGGTCTATGTTTAAATAGACTACAACAACTAATAATTTGATGTTTTCTCTTCGGTATCTTTCACTAGAGTTGTTTAAATCTTCGAGTTCAAAGGAATATAGATTTGTGGCACAACATTTTTTATCATCAATACATGCAGCATCCAGTGCAGATCCAGAGAGTTTTATTGATGTGTTGGAATGATGAATATCCTTGAAAATGCTTCCTCGTGTAGGAACTATAAAACATTATTTTGTATCTCTTTGAATCTTATTATAAAAGTTATAATCTGAGAAGATTTTGCTCTCGAAGTCTAGTATCCCCTACATTTTTGAATGGAACAGTTTTAATTGATTCCCCTATAAACCTGATAAGATTACAAAACGTACAAAATGTCTTAAATTGTTGTATGTTATAAAAAAAGCAAAAAGAGTAATAACCATCCAACATGTAAGTATGTTTTATAACAAAACGCAACATTTGCGTGGATGTCTTCACAATCAATTTCCGACCTTTGACTTCACAATGTTATTATAACGTTTAAAACCGATGCAGAAAGGATTACCCGGATCTGTTCTCCTGGGTGAAGGAGTCTTGTTACTTACAGATTTAGTTATTAAGGTGTCATTTTTATAATATATCTCAGGTATTTAAATCGAAACCTGTCGACCTCTGTTTCATAATTAAAATCCTTAAAAGCTTTAAGTTCCATGAAACATGTGTCCTGTGCAAGCCTGCGTTCTTTCGTACTAAAACTTGTAATGGTAAACTGATTACAGGTCAACCACGTTCTTGAATAGAATATTTCATAAGCTTTCCCCTTTACCATTTCATGCCATGGTTTTACTCTCACAAAACCCTTGACCTAAAAAGAATCTCAAGGAGACGGACTCTTGGTGTTTAAAATTAAAAAAAAACAACTTAAGGTCGAAAGGCACGTTCCTCAAAAATATACAATTTTTCCAAAGAATTTGTCATTGAGGTTTAGGTACTTAAACAGGTTTCCTCGCAAAATATTAAGGTACATAAGCAGGCATTTGTACAAGATACCAGATGGACAAAATTCTTTCATAATCCTTATGTATATTCTTTTGAATGACCTACATGTATATATAGATTTTTGGGAAACTTATATTTAAAAACAACAATTAAGTAAGCACAAAAGATTGACAATTATGAATTATTTTTATGTAATACCAAGACAAAAAAAACATACATTTGAGAAACATGTCGTCTGACCTTAAATACCAGGGTTGTTCGAAAAGTTTGAGGACTCCTGCCATATCTTTTTCATTAAACATCTACAACATCAAAATGCCGTTTCTGTAGGATATTGAAAAAACCACTCGCATTGTTATACAACAAACTGACATGAAAGCAATATGCGCTGCAATTCTGGTGTCGGATATGTGTTGCAAAAATGTTATTTACACTTTCAAAAACATAGATAAAGAATATTTATAAACTTTCGTTGCTGATATTTGCAATGGAAAATTATTGGTAGGCCTTGTTACAAGTAAAATTACATTATTGTCGTCCTGTACAATATTGATTTCTTAAATAATCCTAAATATTTGATGGTACAAGTCTCTCTTCTGAAACAGTTGAGAACTTTATTTTTGTCTAATTGATCATAAAGGTTTTAATTACTAGTAAATATATATCAAAATTACACAATCTAACAGCTAAATAAAATCATTAAAAAATGCAGCACATATTGCTTTAAGTCTTCATGTGGGTGGGAAATTCTAACGAATAGTTCAACGTTTTGGTTGCGTAAGAATTTTTCATGGTGTAGCTAACCTCATGTTATCAAGTTATTTTAAATTATATGCGTCTGAAACATATCAAATTTGACTGCTTAATTTTAGATTAAAGAACGGTACAACGAAATAAATATAGTAATCTGGTTTTGACGAGTACGAGGGCTGTTCGAACAGCCCTCGTACATGCACATTTTATTGATTAAGTTATATTATCTCGATACTACGAAATAATATGTGATCTAGGTACAGTATTTGATTTAGTCGAGGTGAAGTAATGCCTTGCTAGTGGGTATTATAAACGAACAACAACACACCATGTAATTGTCTTGTGCATTGGTTATGTGTTATTCATCGAAAGAATTGTGTTTATTTCATGCAGATTAACTTGTTTTCTTAAGATTGTTTTATTTATCAAGGACAAAAGGTGAAGATAAAGAACAAACAAATTTCATACGTCTCTATTGACCAACCGTCCATTCCCAAATTATTATTTTCGCGATTTGACGCTGAAAAGCCCATAAGCGATATCAAGTACTCGTAAAAAACAAGGAATCTACAGTATAGATAGTTTTCGATAGGCCAGAGTTTAGCGAGAGTTATTTCCCGTTAGTCGCCATACTGGAGGTCCAAATGCTCATATTCCTTCATTATTCAACCAATTTAAAATTTTTATATTTGCTATTTTGAATAAGAAATCATCAATTTTCTGAAGTATATAAATTTTTGGATGCATCCTTTATTTAATAAAAATTAGTTATTAAAGATTTTCCACCAAATATTTCTGATACAACCTCTTAAAGTAAACTTGGTAAGACAAACAGGGAAAATCACCGAGTCAACCTCCAATATGGCGACCAACGGGAGATAACTTTCGCTAACTTCAGGCCTATCGAAAACTATCTATATATATAATCTATAAATTACACAAACTTTATCAAGGCGGACTGGCTGCAGCTTGAATTTTTTAAGAAAGCGTACAAAGTGTTTTCAGCAATGTGTCCTTTGCAATTGACATTAGTTTCATAACATAGATTTAAATAATTGACAATGTTATTAGTTTTTACATTAATTAAAGTTTAATATTCTAAGATTTAATGAAATTCACTTGCAGTTTGACTGTTATAACAAAGCGTACATAGTCTAGCGAACAGTGGTATACCTTCCATCTTCCAGTCTCTAATGGTAAATAATGGTTTCCGATACAAAGTTTTATTAATATTTTATTCCTAATTTAAACTTAGGGGATAACTTATTAACATAATTTTCAAATCCAAAATGTTGTCTATAGATTCTGTAAATCTGTCGTTTTGAAGGAGTATTTATGTCACTAAAAACTGAATACATTGATATTTGCTGTATATGTACGGTAGCTTTTATCCATTTATCAGGGTAGACATTGGCACGATAAATAATCTTCACTGCTTGGTGCTCCTAGGTACATGTGCACTGTACCAGGCCAAGACCTGCAGTTGGATTCCGCGATTACCGGTATATTGTGACATTTCTAGATGACTGAAAAATTCTCGAACGGGTTAAAGAACAATCAATAGATCATTTTTTTTTCAATATAACTAGTTCTAACAAACATTTTAGCAAAGTCAGAATAAGTCTATCCGGAAATTGTAATAATAGTGTTTTCCCTATTTTTTTTCTATCGTGGAGACATAAGCTATGAAAAAACCTTCCTTGTTAGATAATGGTCATGGCGTTATACATTTTATATGTAGAAATAGATCATGCTCATGGTACATAAAAATGTCAAATCCAAGGTAGAAAAATTTTGATGAAGGATCTCCCTGTAATTTATAATTATGTTGAACATAAAGTAATTAAATTCCTGCAAGACACGTTTACATAAAATAAACAAGATGTGTTTGTGAAACACTGATGCCCCCGTATGGCAACATAGAGAAGGTTAAGCTTTCTGAAATGCAGATCAAATAGGTTGGTACCAAGTAAGGCCATTTTACAAGAAATGCGAAATATAAAACGCTAGCTACACCTGTTCCAGGGTAATG